ATTAGCATTGACATTTATTACCAAAAATCACTTTTTTATTGATTTTTCTTTCTAAACTTCTGCTTTTATACATTCTAGTCTTGTGCTTTGGCTTTCAGTTTCCTGTATTTTCTCTTCTCGAGTAAATCGTCAACCATCTGCATTCTTCTTCTTTCCAATCATTTCAATCCTTCTATTTTACCTTAGACGACCTCGTGTAGGAGACTTCTCCTTAGGAGTCGTGTAGGAGACACTTTTTTATCAGAATGGGTCCGATCGAGTTTCCTTTCCTTTTCATAATCGTTCTCTGTACAGTTCTTCCACATATTGTATAATAATTTAATTGAATAAATTATTCGAACATATTTTTTATAAAATTATTATAATTAAATTTAATAAAAATTAAAGTAATTATTAATACTGTCTCTCCTCAATACTATTTGATTTCCATTAATTACTTATTGTTATTAGCATTCGGTGCTTTCAATACAAAAGCAGAATCGACGTCCATCCTAACGATTTAGCCAGCCAAGTCTACTGAAGCAAAAATTACCCAAATGTCTTCATTTAGTAACTTTTATATTATTTCTTTTTCCTTCACTTGTATTATTTGTCTTTTTGTTTCTGTTTAATATTATACTCCTATTAGGTTCCCCGCTGAATGTACCTATTATAAACAAATTATAAAGTTTCCCTTCATGTTATGGTTTCATTTGTTTATTATTCTCAATCGCTGCTCATTGTTTTATCTAACATATTGCAGAATAAATTGAATTAAAATATAAACTTTGTATTTGCAAACAAGTTTCCAGAATATGCAATAATATTTTGCTAGTCTTTATCCATCATAGTATAGATGTTTTAAGCAGCAACTAATATCTCGTGCGGAGCTAGATGGTCCCGCACATGTCCCGTACATGTCCCGCACATGACCTCATTCGGTTCAGTCTCCGCGTGTGTCTACTTACATACACACACACATGCATGGCATAGCGTTACTTGCTGCTGCTTCATATGTTATGTACGAGTACGACTGCCGTCTATTACAATCGCAGCAATCTCTTTTATCTGCACTGTGTCCATTGCATCGCATTTGATTGCACAATACTCTTATAAACGTATAATGGTTGTTTTTTTTTCTCCCCTGGGCTGCCTAATAGTCTCTATAAATTGTTTAAAGTCTCGCAATAAACATTTTACGATCAAGGGAGCGTATCGCGATAATTAAATCTTATAATGGCATTAAAGGGTCGTTAGCTTGTATATGTTTATTATTAGTACTTATAGTATTTATGATGATATTGTTTATGTTATATACATTGTATTTCAATTCGATTTTATCATTCCTACTTTTGAAATTATAGTTATTGAAACTGCAGTAGATCTTATAGTAGTTTTTATTGGGTGGTATCAGCATATTTTGAGTAGTATCTTTGGAATATCTAAATTTAATGTCAATCGAGTTGTAACAAATGTGTTTGCTTGCCCGATTATTGTTTGGATATATTTGGGAACAGGAATTTAGCTCATAAATAATTGTATCTTTCAAAAATCAGTGATGCTAACATTTCAACTAAATCATTGCAAAAGTATTACATGCGAATCATTCAATTTTTTTTTTATTATTATTAAGATGATTTAGCAAATTTATCGCAGATTGTGATAAAACAGCTTGTATTCAATATATATTAGCTTTCTAATTAGTTCTTTTATATATGAATATCAATGCTGGTCATTTTTAGCATAATTATATCAGAAAATTTTTCACATGGGCCATGGTAACTCTATTAGATAATTTAGTTAAAAAAATATATATCAAGAAACTGAATGTATTGAAGAAACATATTCTTGCCAAAGCTTCCTGGAAAAATACCGTCTCTATGTCACAGCTTTTTCCACCAAATAATGTATGTCTGACATGGTGACTAACGTGTTAAAATGTGTCATATAGATATTTTCAGCGTTAGGCACATATGATTGTCATGGCGATTAACGTGTTAAAATTTGTTTTATGATCAATTCATTTCCAATATTAATTTGACCATTTTTACCAGTAGGATATTCAAATTTGTTTCGTGATCAATTCCTTTCCAATATTAATTTGACCATTTTTACCAGTAGGATATTCAAATTTGCTTCATGATCAATTCATTTCCAATATGATTTTGACCAGTAGGATATCAAGTATGTTTCATGATCAATTTATTTTCAATATAAATTCGACCATTTTACCAGTAGGATATTCAAATTTGTTTCATGATCAATTCATTTCCAATATGAATTTGACTATTTTTGCCATTTATATTCAAATTTGTTTCATGATCAATTTATTTTCAATAAAAATTAGACCATTTTTACCATTATGATTCAAATTTGGTTAATTATTAATTCATTTGCAATATTGGCTAGACCACGTATTGGAAGATTTGATATAAATAATCTTAATCGTTTAACTATTATCTATATTTAATATTACATTTTCATCTTTTCAGGGCAATTCAGTCATTTCGTCAGCTGTTGTACACCCGACCTACATTCTCAAGAGCTTCGGAAGTAAACATTCGGCTTGGGTTGATGCTAAAGATCCCGCGCGATTGGGATTCTGCATGTGAAACAATTCAAACTCAGTCTCTTACAGGTATAAATAATTATACTAAAAATAATAATATAATGTATATAATATAATTACATGCATATAAAATTTTAAATTTTAAAAATCCTTTACACCACGAGCTTAGACCCACGCTCCTATTCAGCTAAAATAGTTCCTATATATGAGAAACATTTCATTAATAATTTAATAACTTTATTAATATGACTAATATTAGATTAAAGTATTCTATCTATCTATTACCATTACCATTCATTATATCGCAATGAAGTCTTTATCAATGAATTCTATTTTCGTTTGTTCTAAAGAGAACTATTGACTCCTATATTTCATGCGTTGAGTCAAGTCACCAATTAATGTTCGAACTGACCCAGATTCGATGGAAATGCCGCGAAAAAAGAACGTGTTATCTAGTATCTACTGCCGGTAATGAGTGCTTGAAAAGGTTACACAAAGTAATAAAATCGAGAATAATTATTACCATACTTGAAATTTTATTTTATTTTATTCGAGTTTGTGTAAATATTTTGTACGCAGTAAAATGTTGCAATTGCATATTACTTCACTAACTAATGATGAATTGATTATTAGTAATGGCCTTAAGTCAGTGGTTTCCAAACTTCTCGCACTGCGACCCCCGTTTTATTTAAAAAATAAACATTGTTGCACCTTCCTTAATTTATATATCAATATAATGTCATCAATACTGATCTTATAATCAGCTGATATTATAATTTATTCACAAGGCGACAAATTAATATACAATATTATGAAAAAATGTACATACAAAATTATTTTGTATCTATTTATTTTTTTCATGTCATTTCAACATTTTTGCTTTATTTTTGAAAATAGTACTGCCCACAGGTTGGAAACCTCGGTCTAAAGCTGTTATTTTATTGTGGTCAATATTATATTTAAGTGTTGATATAGATTCAAGTATTTATATAGATTTAAGTATTTTTTATAAATTAAACTATATTAAATGTACACTTCTAATCTAATTTCTTATTTACAATTTGTTTTTGACGTTGAATCTAATTGGACTTTAAAATATTTTGGCATCATCATGTTCTTGTCAATATGTATAAATGCATTTCTTTTAAATCTAATCGAAAATATTTTTTTTTATATCTTTACGTTTCTAAGGTTTCTATACATTTTACGTATACGTGTGTGTGTATCTGGATGCTTGTGTATGTATGTATGTTTGGATACAAATTTTCGTCCACGATTTGGAGAGTACGGATCAACCGATTTGAATGATTCAAATAGCATTCGATTCCTAATGATGGGGAAATGTGCTGGTTCGTTTTATGCCAAGGCAGGCCTAGCTATTTTGAAGATACAGGGCAAAAAGTGTCATTTCAGTTTTTGATAGAACCGAGAGGCCAATTTGAGTTTTTTTTAACTCTGTTTTATTCAGCAATCAGAAATACATAAGGATTTCTATAAGCTAAATTGACGATATTTGAGAGCGATGTCTAAGAAGAACTCCAGTGAGGTCTTCTTAGTTTAACAATTGAAAAGATAATGTTATATTTGAAGCTAATCTAAAACTAAATCTAAAGGCCATTGACGTTTCAATCTTCTTACGCCAAATGGTTGGGTAATGTCGCCTATTGATGGGTTTGAATGTGATTCCAGTTTACGTTTGTATTTTTCCTTAAATTCTTTGAACGTTAATTGCACCGTTTTCATGTTGAGATCGTTGTGAATGATTTTATTTGTCACGTACCACGGAGAATTAAGTATTGTACGTAAAATTTTTGACTGAGTTCTCTGCATTATAGCTATATTTGATTTGTAAGCACATCCCCAGAGCTCAATTCCGTAGGTCCAGATTGGTTTAATGATTGATTATATAGCAGCAACTTATTTTCAACAGGAGCTTCACTAATCATTTCACTTGTATTGATAAAATGAAGATTTGAATAAATTCAGAGATCCATAAAAAAGTTTAAAAAAAAAACGCCATTGGCGGCAAAAATGATTAGGCATAAGCACATCAAATTATCAGATATTTCATGATAATTTTAATATTATGTAAACATAATGTTAACATTCTATGGGTTCCGTACCAAGATTTATATTGTTTTACCATTAGAGACTGCGGCGTATATGCGCTTCGATATTTTGTTTCTAAAATAGCTACATAAGCGCGATCATAGTAAAAAAAATCATAGTCCACTAGTTTCAATATGTCGACGATATTGGTACTCTTTATTATAAATCAAAAATCATCCGTTATCCCCACGCCTAGTTTCACGCCACTCCAAATGTGCAAGACAAATCTCGATCAAATATACGTTCTTAAATCAATACCAATCGCAACTATTTCCATCATACCATCAATTCCATTCACAAATCCAAAGCTCTTGTAAATAATAAAACGCAATCCTTATTGCAGGCTTCAAACGGCGTATCGAACAGTGCCCATCCGCCGTCCGCCGTCTCACAGTCGTCGGGTCGTTCCTTCACCGAGGCGGAGGTGCGATTTCACATCGCGCATACGCACGAATTGCGCGGCGCCACTCGCGTCGCCCGCGAACACTACGAACGTCTGCTGCGCGACGCCAGCGCCAGCGACTCCCTCCGAGCGGATGTCTGCCGCCAATTAGGATGGCTGCACCACACTACTCCGGGAAACAATGCTGATAGGTAAGGATAAAGGTTCGAGGGAAGAAGAAAAAACTAGATAGATTATTTATTTTATTTATCCAATATTCATAATTAAAATTACAGTAGAAGTCATTAGTCGGCACCCACAGTCCGGGATTCCCGATAGTCTAGCATAGTTTCGAAAAAATTATGTTTTCTCCGAAGTAAACCGGAGTAGTTTAGCCGAGAGAATAGATTTTTTAAATGAACAATGTGTTTTATTTATATACCAACTAGCAAACCGGGCAAACTCCGTTTCACCACCAGATGGTTTCATTTTATGTAACATTTTGTTTGGATGAAAAGATTAAGAAAAAAATTGCCTGCTGTTGAAATTGAATAAAAATTTCACAATACACGTGATTGATTTGATGGTTTCCAATTGAAATGTTAGGAAACGAAAAACTTATTTTTTTACTTTTTTTGCAATTTCACAGTGAACACAATGCCAGTTTGTCATATGAAATTAAGAGCAGAGAAAAATGAGTACAAACAAATGAGTAGCTGGCAAACAAAAAATATTGGTTTGTAGTACATGCTAAGTATCAGAGATGACACTGTATGTGAAAAAAGAAAAAGAGTTTTCCGCTTTTCTGTTTTCTTCAATTTTTTTTGCTATAAACCTTGCGGAGTCCGAGACCTTCCAACGAATGCAAAATTGTCGAAATCGGTTCGTGCGTTCTGGACTTTATATCGTCAGGAAGGAAAACCCAACTTATTTTTTGTACCAATATTCATATCAGTTTGCTATAGTGATGGGCGTTGAATCAACGAACGGTTATTTTCAACCGTTTCTTCTTCGTTAACTAACTAACCGTTTCGTCGCAACGAAATAACTAGTTGAAAATCAACTAGTTTCGAACAGTTTGAAAACATGGCGGCCAGTTAGTTTTTTCAACGATATAGGAATTCGTTTGTTTGTCGAAAACGAACGTAGGCAGGTACCTGCGTCGGAAAGGATCAACCAATACTATGAAAATCGCTTATTGTTAGGCTACTGCTTGCAAATGTACATGTACATCTTAAAAGAAACTTGCAACACGCGCCAAATAGTTTAATTTAGAAAATCA